TGCCCTGGGCAGCAGCACTGCATGAGCTGCTGGCAGAATTGTGGCAGCCATTTCTATTCTCCCTCCACTCCCCCACGGTTAGGACCTAGGGCTGGTTCCCTGGTCATCACTTCCCCCCTCATTCTCGTACTGGGAAGTCATCTTCCTGAGGCTTCAAAGAGTAACCAGTGGAGTCCTCAAATATAAAATACAAGCTCATGATAAACACATTGTTGGTGCTTCCTTTTGAACTCATGAAGGTGGATTCCAATCCTCCAGGCTTAAAACTATTTTTCGAACAGCGATCTCTTTGTCCAGGAAGTTTTAGCCATCTTTGTCAGGGGATCACATCCTGGTTTACATCAAGGAAAGGTAATTTACAGATTAGTATGGAGATTTTCAAAGCCACCAAACATACTGAAATCTAGGGTTCCTTTGAAAAAATCCGCCTCTATTCGTTATCCATTTTTCCCACAGAGGCATTTCCATTTCCATAGAAACTTCTGTTCCTTTTTTTCAGACAGAAGCATATCCATACATTTAATATAAATGGGATGCAAGAAGTTAAGGGGAAAAAACAGACTACCGGTTTGTTCCTTTGGGTTCAAGACAGCAAAAAGATAAACATGAGGGGCAAAGGTTGCAGTTTTCTGGATAAGCTACTTCCATAACAGTCATTAATACCAGTTGAAAGGGACCTCCTGAGGTCCCTTCCAACCCTAATTTTCAATGATTCTGTGATTATATTTCTACTTTTTGACTATTCATGGGATGTGATACCTATTAACTGCTAGAATTAGCCATTTGATTTAGCAGCTTATTTCAGAAGTGTAGAAGACTGACTTCTGAAATAATGACTTTTTACTCATTTGAATCCCTTCCCTGTCCCCAACCTGCATTTTTTTCAAAGCTTGGCACTGACTGAATAGAAATAGTACCACTGATGAAAAGTAATTTCTTACAAGTGAAGTTGAGGGGTTTTTCTTAAGTTCCTCAGCAACAGCCTTGATATACCAGCTTTTCTCCTACAGGAAGACATATCCAGGGATCAAGGTCCTAGTAAAGGACATGGAAGACCCACATTCACTTCCCTGTGCTGCCACAGACTTCCTGGGTGACTTCGGGTAAGTCACAAAGTAATAGTTTTAAAAAAAAGGTATTTGGATTTTATTAAAGCACAACAACAGCTCTTCCCTTCATCACAGGGATGTTATGGAAATAAATACTTAAGAAGATTGCGAGATGCTCAAATGTTGCAGTAATATGGGTTATACAATACACCAAGACACTCTATTCCTTTCTTGGAATGCAAGGTTGCCTTTTTCTTAACCTTTTCAGACAAACATTTTAGTGCTACCACCATATGTATTGCCTAGGAGCTCCCTATTTAAGCAAGATCTGTCCTACATATCCCTCTATAGTGGATATGTAGGACAGAACTTCACTTCCCCTGTCCCCACTTCATGTACTGGCTTAGTGAATTATGCTAACTAGATTGGCATAGGAGAAACAGAAGAAACCAAATGAATCAATCAGAAATTACTTCCGTCTTTGCCTTAAACATCCTCACCACACATGCACTGAGACAATAGTCTCACAATCCAACATTAATTTAAAGAATACTGCTTTGATTTATGGGAACTAGTGTAATTTGAGAGAGAATGTCACAGAGGAATTGGTGTCTGCAGCAAAAAAAGAAGTCAGACCTAATCTAAACTCTTTATAAGTTTTTCTGGAAGAGTTAAAAAAAGTCTAGCTGATCTATCAGAAGCAAGTAAACAGCAAGTGGGTATTAAAATGCAATTTCTCCCCTTGCAATCAGCCTTAAAGGCATTCATGCTTTATATAATGGTTTGGCTTCCCTTTGTACCATTGCCTACTGTGCTGCTTTACAACAAATAAGTGCCACACCATGTGACACTAAGCAGTCTGAAGGATTATATCCAAGTTGCATGCCGGGATTAAACTGTATGATTCAATCATACAACTAAATCCCTATTCAATGCTTTGAAAGTTTACCACTAAGTGTGAAGCTAAAACTATTAACTAATAACAGTCAGATATCTACCAACCACATCCTCTTGTAGTACAATATCAATAAGAGACATGTCCGAAACCGTGCCTAAGAAGAATTAACGAGCACTTGTTTGAAACAGGGACATTTTACCTTGGGACAGATTTTTTTTTCTAATTTATTGAAAATATTTTGCACTCTGAGGTGCAAATTCTGCCTAACTCACACAATCAAATAAAACTGAACAAATATCTTTGTAATAAACGTATGGCATGCAAACATGTAAACCTTGAGGCTCTGATTCTCATTTACGTGAAGGCTCATTTACACCAAAGTGAAGAAGAGGGTTCCTTGTGCTAATGAGAATGAAGCCCATTCATTCTTGAACAGCAATTTTCACATATTACATTTAACATGTGAAGATTTAATAATGCATCTCCATTCCACATGCAACAAACAAGCAAGCCACACATTATTTATACTAAAGCATTTTAAGGAAAGCAACTGGAAACAAAATAGAATGTAATTCTCTATAGTAGAATTTGCTCTTTAACCTGATCCTACTTCAATAGGAGTAAGAAAAAAATTAGTACGTCCTTAATTTGAAAAGAATATTCAGTGTATTCAGCCATTGATTATATTTTTAATTATCATTTTCCCAAGGTAAGCAAAATACATTTGCCGGATTCAAGGCAAACTATTGCCTTCTAGTTCTTATGCAACTTCCACTTATTTAAATCAAAATGTTTTGAGTCTTTCAGATCAGAATTTAGCCCTTTGGCATTATCTTATTCTAAAATGAATTAAAGTAATACTGCTTTCAGAAATTTTGATTGTGTTACTGATGATAACCAGCAACGGGAATTACTACTAGAAATGTTAAATGTTTAGACCAGAAACACTTTTCAAGATAAACGTCTTGACCACATCTTAAAATGCATGCTAACATTTTCGGTGCGTTCACTAGGCTATGCAAACCTGCAGTGGTCTGTGTACTAGTACTTAGCAACCAGTCTGCAGTGCTGAGCAGAGTCATGTCACCTGAAGGGAAATTCCAAACAAAAGAAAACTGTTGGGCTTCATCGCAGATTGTAAAAGTTATTTTAAAAACTTTATCTTCCTTGGTTGAATTTATTTTGAATGAGCAAGCCTTCAACATGTAAATTCTAAAGTCAGATATAAACCATGTTAAAAATAGCTTGCAGCGGTTTAGTTTACATTCTTCAATAAAACTCAACGTTATGCTCACTGACAAACATAGACATTATTTGCAGATGTATTCATCGAATGTTTTTTGACTGACATGGGTGTATGAAAGGAAACTATACATACAACTTGTTGCATAAAAAAAAGAAAATTTTGAGATCCCTGTGTTATCTTTGTTCCTTATGGGTACAGAGCTCTTATTTAGATTAACAAGTAGTCTGAATCAGATCAAAAGATAGCATGTGCCTCTCTTGGTTCAGAATATATCCTATTCTGTGTTGCTACAGAGCCTTCAAAATTGCACAGCAGGTACAGAAACCAGGAAAATTTAAAACAAAGTCTTTAATGATCAGTAAGGTTTTTACCCATAGTACTGATTAATAGGAATATATTGATTTAATTAAATGAGCCTAAGCTACTATTTTCATAAGTGCCTGAGTCCAAATGAAACTTAAATGGAATTTAAGTCTCTAAGTGCCTAATGACATTTAAAAAATGGGACTCTGGGACTTCTGAAAAATGTTATGCTGTACCAAAGGACATCTAATAATGTTTAATGGCAAGAAGAAATACTGCAGACATGATTTTTTAAAATCTCAATTAAAATAGTGAGAAAACCACATTTTTACATAAGCATTTACTTTACTGTTAATACTGTACGTTTTTCTTAGAATTAAAAATGATTTAAAGTTCAGATTTACAAACCCTATTTTACAGTAATAAAAGAAAGTAAATTATACACAACTGTAGCACAACTGACTGTCAACCTGATATCCCATAAGCTATCCCAAACAACACTCGACTCCAATTAGAATGAATAACAGAGATGTTTGGGGAGCTGCAGGGGGACAACATCTGTTTGATTGACAGATGTCTCTTCTAGAAGAACGCAATGCATGCTCATAACCTAAAACAGTTTGGCTGTGTTATTTATGTATAATTGAATACAAAGCCAGCCTTTACTGCAAGAACTACTCAAAGTACGTTTATATGAAAATTCTTTATAAAAATGTGATTCTAAAATGGAGTCTTGATTAAGCATTAGAAACTTTTAATATAGTTAGCTAGCTTAATTTGGATTTTTTTTATTTTCACAACTAATTATATAAACAGCTCAATAGCTCTATATACAACTAATCTATATAAAATTAAAGTTCTCTAAAACTATAATGTACAGTTTGTAGGGTAAATATATGCTCTGCTGATGGCATTCTGGTATATTGAGAACAAAAGATAGGCAGCTGCTAAGTTCACTGATTTTTGAAAATCTGAAAAATATGTATATTTTACCATCACTAAATGGATTACACCTGTTTGAATTGTGAACAATCCCATCTGTAGTAGAAGCAGACTTCAATTTTAATTAACCTACATGGCAAAATTTTCATAACCACAGTCACCTGCACTTGCACAAAGTATGAGAAATAGTCATGAGCACTTTTAGTTTGCCTTCTTAGGTAGACAAATATGAATATTTCCTTTTTTCCATCACTAAAATGAAAAATATATTGTCAATTAATTTTAACTATCTTATTTTCAGTAGTGCACATAATACTGACTCAGTACATTCAAAATATGTGAAGGGAATATAAAACTGGTATGAGAACTATTGCTGAAAGCTCATAATAGTAACTACTGATAAACACTGAACATAGCCTTTATACATCATATTACATAAAGATGCAACACCTAAAATAGTAAAATATTTTTCTCTCTATATCGCTTACTGCCTGAATGATTCATTGAACAAACATTTGGGACAGAATAAAGGATGAAACAGACAGAGAAAACAGTAGCTCACCTTCTGTGCCATTGGGTGTCATGGAATTATTATTTATGTGAGAGTTATCAAGTTTTGGACCACTGGGGGATTCGCTACTACCACTTAGTCGGCTATGCGGGCTTGCTAGATCCTGCATTTCCATAGACCTGAAAACAAAAACTAGCCAATTTTACCTATACATTCAATTTGCATATGGAGGAATTGTCCATACATTAAAGCGCAAGATTAAATTTCTTCAAAAATACTTTTTAATTAATCAGTAGCACTCTCTATCATGTACTTTTTCCTTGGCATTAGTATGTTAACTCTTGTGTAGTCATACTATATATTTGATTCATGATCAACAATCATATTGCAAATCTTAAAAGAATAAAATGTAAAATATAGGAAACTGCTCCTAAGATCTTCTGATCAACTTACACCTTTTAAAGTATGAATAAGGGGAGAATCATAAATATCTAAAGAAATATATCTCCTTAGCAACAGATTAACTCTCGTTCTTCAAAATGTACCACCCATTTGCAATTTAATGGGTCTCCAAACCAAATAAAACACTTGAAGTAATTGTTGAAACCTATAGTCTAATGGCAGGGAATGAGATATTCCTGATGTATGTGTTTACTCTGGCAAACTACTTAATTGTTCCTCTGTTTCCACTGAAACAAATGCAGCATTAAAACATTATTATGTCTGCTAACTTGTTTGCTTTGTGGATTACATAAAGCGTGCCCAATAGAAAAGGGTTAAGGCCAACATACAGTGAATCCATGTAGGCGTTTGTATACCTTGGCATTCTGCAGTAGCTAAGTTGTCATTTGGTCAAAATAAAAAAACAACAATTTAGATTCAATGCAAAAAAAAATGAATATTCATAAGAATCTTACATTCATGTTTATTGGCTTTATAAAAAAATGTTCACTGACCATGACACACATTAGAAATCTCTCAGCTTGTATCCATTATACTTTTAAACAAAATATATGCCTGAAACTTCTGATTATGCCAATGATTAACTTTTTCAAAGTAATGTTTCCTTATAGAAAATTTGTAGTTTACTTTTTTCCAAATCAACTGAACCTGTAATGCTTCCACTTTCAATACGGTAGTGAAGGAACTTTTTAAAAAGTTACATAAAAATATATCTTTTCTCCCTCTATACTTCACTTTTAAATATAAATATTATTTCAACCATTTGATTTTGCATTTGAAATGAGTTCTGGTTATGAACATTTTTAAAACAATCTTCCATTTTAACTTGCATTAGTAAAAATTGAACCACACATTTTAAAAGCAAAACTGTGGTTATAAAGTAAGTTTTCTTTAAATAAAATGATTCAATTAAGAGCATTTCAGTGCAGAAGTGAATTTATTCATAGTTTTGACTTCAATGTATAAATTCAACTCATAAATCTTCAAGCATTTAAGTAAAATTCTCCAGCTTAAAGTGGACAACAATAATAAAAATTTACTGCCACTTGAAATAAATAGCACTTTCCATAGAGAGGCCAAATCAATCATATACTTACCTGCAACTTGAGGAAACAGCAACATCTGAACTGGTTTGAGACTTTTGCACCTGCAAACCAGAGAAGCAAATAGAAGCCTCAATTATTTTGCTTTAATATGAGGCCTTAATTTAAACAAAGAATATTATTGCAGATGACAATTATTTCCTTTAAGCTAAAATGAGGAGGATACTAGAATAGTGAAAGGCATATTGTCTTTAAATTGAAGACTCAACTGTTGTTTCCTCCTGCTGGTCCTCCTCCCTTCTCCCCATGTCAGGGGGAAGGCAGCCAAATGACGGGATAGTGATTCATCACTGGCCTGTGACAGCTGCAAACTGGATTACCCCTCCCCCAAGCTACATGCAAAGCAGTCTTGCCAAGGTAGCTAGAAAGTGCCTGGAAAAGGTAGCTATTAACACAGTGAACATGTTGAACAGAAGTAGCTCAAGCATTAAACACCCAGCATCCGCAGAAGATCTTTCATCTTTTGTTATCATTGGTTGAAATATCTCCTTCCCACCCCTTTAACTTTGAACAGTCTCTTAAACTTATCACATTAGATTTCTTCTTAATTTATTCTCTCTCATTTAAACTAACCACACATCAGCTTCTGGGCAATTTCAAATATGGCATGGCAAGTCTGAAATCGCTAAAATATCTTCTTAAAATGGGAAAATACAATTGTTATATAGAGTTGAAAACTTTAACGAACAACCATATTATGCAACCATTTGAAAAGTGTGTCTACTACCAACTGGGCCATTTCCTTAAGGGTTTCACCATACTGCAAAATAAAGCAGATCAAAATGCCAAAGAACAGGCATTACTGCTCAAGAGTTCTATTTATTAAATATTTATTCCATCTAATCATTTGTAGGATTTTCAGATACCAACCATCAAATATCGCTTATTAAAACTGTAAATAACATAAACCTGGCTTTGGTGGCACTGAATCAGAAGGCAGTTTGGTCTTTGCAGTGGAAATAAATGATCAGAACTTCCAAATGAATAAAACAATAACTTTCACCTCCCACTTGATGACTAGTATAGTCTCATCCTTGATTATTAGAAAAAACATTATGAACCTGCATTCTGCTAGACAGCACTTAATAACTTTTCTTTTATACTTGACTTTCCTCTATAGCAATAATTGTCAGCAGGTGAAAAATTCAGGTGAGGATAGGCTGTTGGCTTAAAAGAACAAACAAACTTCTTCAGGAAGAGTATATATTGTCTACATGTCTGTGTTCAAAATCTTTCATTTCCATTCAACCTGAACTGACATCTCTTAGATGATCACAGAACAAAGACAAGGGAGATGAGGCATTTTAAGTGCCATAAAAATCATCCAAGCAAATCTCACTTATGTCTGCAGTTTTTGTTATTTTTAATGAGAGGCAGAATTACTACTTTAAGCAAGAGTAAACCACTGATAGAAGCAGTCAAACAATGTATAACGTTACAAATGATGTCAATAAGCATTCAATAACACATGCAAAAAACCTGCAATCTTTTTATAACTGCATATGTAAAAGCACTGCAAACTGTGCTTTCAAATACATTATAACATGCCAGATCAATGGGAATATCAGATGTGTTTGAAACAGCTAAACCATATTAAAAAGACAAAAAGAAAAATACTCAGATGTAACATGAAATTTTTTTTACTCCCAACCCCAGAAACCAGCAGAATGCCTCAGGTTATATTGCTCTCCTGCTATTTCTATACACCTGGAATAAATTATAGGTGAGAACTAACTTTGTTTTAAGAGCTATCTTTGCCTAGTAATATGGAAGATCATTTAAAAGATATCTCCTATGAACACAAGAAAAATATTTTAATTTCTATTTTAATTAGCTAAGCAATGTGGTGTCTGCACTGTATTTTTAATTATTGTCCAGTTCACCTTCACTTTTATATTTCTAAAATAAAACAATTGCCAAAGTATATAATTATTCCAAAATATTTTTCAAAAAATTCAGGATTGAGAAGGAAAAAAGATGCTTTTTTTTGCTAGATGTAGCCTCACGAAATAAATATATACCTTTCATGTCTTTTTACACTGTATGATTTGTGGACGTTCATATCCATGATCTTCATTTTCATTAGGCATACTTCAGATATATTCCTTTGTGTCTCAAGGATTATTTAAACCATGTGTTGTGTGTTACCATATTTGAAAATGACTCTTTAATCAAAATAACTTTAAAACAACTAATCCTCACTTAGGCTGGTCAGCTGAATCCACATAGCGGTCCAGGAAAAATAAATCTACTCTCAAGAATGCGAATGCAGACAACAATTAGACACAGATGTGAGTGAAATTAGTTACAGTTTACAAAATGCTACACTTCACATGCTCTTAGTTTTTCATGTGTAGTACAAAATTACAATATAGTAAGGAAACACACATATGGGGGAAAAATTCTAGGTTACACTGATTTGATCTTAGTGATCTCTTCCCTTTGCTACCAGTTTCTAGACAAATGAAGCTCGAAAATGTATTTTAGTAACAAGCTACTGAATAAAAGGAAAAATAAATGTTGGCCCTAACAATATGTTCAAACAGGATACATAAAAATAATTCAGAAAGACAGAAAAGCTGTTGTTACCCACAGAATATTCAGTACTCCAATTAGACTAAAAATGCATAAAATGACACAAGACACAAAATCTTCATACTGCATCAGAAATTATTGCTATGCATAAATTGATTATTTTAAGTAACATTGACATCTCCATCCTTAATATGGATTGCAGATAAGTGGGACTACATTAAGTATGACAAGACAAAAACAGGGCAGTGACAGAAAAGCTACTTAAAATTCACCAATTAAGAATCTTAAACCAGTAACGTCAAATTCTGATTAGCTAATGAGGTTTTTTAAGTTTGCCTTTTTTCTAATTAAATGTATAATTCTTCACAGATGTAGGTTTTGTTGATGTTCAATTTGTCTCTCTCATTTTGTTAAACCTCACATAGTACTCCACCAATCCATTGAATAGCCACATTAAATCTGTTAATACCATGCTCTTCAACCCCAGAAATTATTTCCAGAAGGCAAACTTGCTTTGAGAGATCATCAAACAGGACTTAAGGTACACATTTTATCACATTTTCCCTACCACAGAGCTCAGGATGCAGAGGAAAATTCATGACTTTTGCACTGTTTATTACACTTTGCTAAATTACAAATCAAAAGCATCTGACAGAAGATCATGTATGAAGCCAAAAAGCTAATAATGTTCTGTGAAAAGTAAACTGTAAATGGGAAGGGATTCTAAATCTCAGCAGCACAGAGCAAATAAAATGTAGGTACTTGTCTAAATTATGGGTTTTCCACAGTCTTTTTGCTTGCTAGAAGCAATTTTTATAAAATGACTATAATTTAAAACATTTTTCCAGCTGAAAAGAAATTTTCAAAGTGAAAACATTAAGCTTATCCAAATAAATATAGCTGGCATGTGAACTAGTCTTTTTTTTCAACCACAGTTTTACTCTAGCTCCCAAAAATCTCAAAAACAATGGCAATTTTCTAATCAGACTATTTCTTCTTAGGAAAAGTGCTGTTTTCAAGAGAAGTATATGTTTTTCATCATAGCATTCCCTTTCTCTTTTCCAACATTTTCCAGCCTTCACAAATAATTGCAGTTTCAAGTGTAAAATGTACATAAATTAAAGTGAAAATCTAGCAGCAAAAGGTGACCTTGCTACACCCTATTAAAGACTTTCATTTTACTTTCACTCTTCTAAAATCATAAAAGTATACAGTGTAGAAAATAGGTGAGGAAGTAAAGTATTTTTTCACTCAATTACTTCTTCAAAGACCAATTGTAATTATCAAAAAGAAGTGGATGATCACAGCTATTTAATTTTTAAAGCACTATATTTTTTGAAAATACTAAGCTTCACTCATATTTACACACCTATTTGTAAAAAATGAAGTATTTTGACATCTAACTGATATGTGAACAGATATTATTTTGGGTCAGTGTTTCTAACATGTACAGAAACTTGAAAGTGTTTTCTGCTCCCCAAAGGCTTTTTGGCTCATTAGAAATACTTTACATTTGTCAATAGTTTAAAAAAAGACTGCTTTTCTTTGGAGTTGTGTATTCTAATGTGCAGTCCAAAAGGTGAAGAGTGATATATTTCAGCTTCTGTGGCTGTCACTGCACAAAATTTTCAAGTTTGAAAAATTACAGCTGTTCACTTACGGAACATATTGGGTCTGAGGAAAATCCAAGTGGCAAGGGAATTCCATAACTAAATATTTCATTGTATGTGAACTAGTGAGTACACACACATCACACGTGCATACAATTATGCAGCCTTAATTTTGGACAAAATTATTTCAGTTAGGAATTTGAGAGAAATGGCTCTTAAATGAATGCGTAGAATAAGAGACTTCTGGTTGCACAGAAAACGATATTCCTATAAAATTATCTTTTTAATGATTGAAAAGGCAAAAAGGATTAAAGCCGTTGCATTGTTTGGTGTTTTAAAAACGTTTTATGAACTTTTCTGTTTGTCTCACGTAAGAAGCTTGGTTGCTAAAAATCTCCAAAGCAGCAGCACTTTTCAAGTCCCTGACATCTCTTCTTTTATAGAATAAATCTTTTATTGGAGCAGCCAGTCATCCCTTTTATTGATGCGTGTCAAAAACACCTCAAGAAATACATACTAGTGAATGTTTTGTGAGTCTTGATTGCTCAAAAGCAAGATGTAAAATTTAATGAGGCTTCAAAGAGCCTTAACTTCCTGGTTCTAAGATCTTAATTCTAAACAAGCCACATAAAATGTCAATAAACGTCAGATATTTTAGCTGTGTAGGTGTTTATTCTGTCACAAGAAGTCCTCCTTTGGGGATCTGCATGTTGTGCCTGGTGTTTGGAAAATTAAAAAATATTAAGCAAAAGGATTTCCTGCTTCAGAAGTGCTGTCAAAACCTCTGTCATGCCTTCTTCCTCCGAATTTCTTCATTTTTTTTTTCTCCTGCTCTTGAACCTCTTTCACACCGGTCTGTAGAAATCATGTGTATTACATTTGATTTTAAACCGCAGCAACTCAGCATCCGTTCGGTTTCTTTTCAATGAACGGCTTGGAAACCAAACGGGAGCAAGGAAGAGGAGCCACCGCCTGACTGCAACGAATAGAGCAATGTCACATCTGCTTTGGGGGCAGACACCCAAACCTGAAACAGGGCCAAAATGAGCCGGTTAAAAAACCCAAACCAAACCTGCGATTTATAATTGGGTATTAATGCATCATGAAAGAGAAAGGGCTCTGTGATGGGACCCCATGCAAGGTTACTGCAGGGCTTGGGAAAAAAACCCCACACTGCTGTGCAATGAGGCCATCTCATTCATGGATTTATTTAGTAATTTCTTCTCTTTTTTTTTAAAGAAGGAGCTTCACTAGAAAAGAGCCAGTGTTATCTCCCTGCCTTGCAACGCAGGACAGCTGCTGTCAGTCCATGCGAGTTTTAAAACAGCCGCTTTGTACTTACAGTGATTGGATCTGCTGCATCCACCAGTTTTAGGTGCTCCCTTCCCCTTCTCTGGCTCCGATCACCATTCCTCACATAGTTTTTATTCCTGGGCAAAGCGAGAGGAGCGCTGGGCTCCGCCGCCGGCCGCCCCCGGGTGAGCAGCTCTCCTTGGAGCGCGGCGTCCCTGGAGGGCAAACCCGAGCCGAGAGCAAGGGCTCGTGTGCTTGCTGCTGCAGGCTCTGCCTGCAAACGCGTCTGAAGGGGGAAAGCTGCTTCTCCAGAAAGGGAGGGGGAAAAAAAAAGCAGCACACCACCACCGACTTTCACAGGAAGACTTAGAGTCGGAAGTGGCACCGGAGAGTTTGCATCTCGCACCAAACTCTTGAACCATCAGCTCCTACTGCTCTAGTTTGGAGCGGTGTGCTTTCCCCACACTGCACAGCAGCTGATCATATCTGAGCGCCTCAGACAAAGAACCAGCAGAATCTTCATCCCTCCTATTTGTTTGCTGAGTCTTGTAGGTCTGCCCATGTAGCCTCAGGGCTTTTCTTTTCTCTTTTTCCATTTTTTTTCTTTCGTGTGTGTGTGTTTTTGTAATGCAAACCACAGCTATTCTCTTGTCCCAACCTTATTGGTTTAAATGTAACAATTGAAATGAGCCCTGTGCTGTCTGAATCAGCCTTACTGCTTAACAAAAATTTAGGATGTAAATGAAGGAGCCTGTGGTATCTGAACAAACAGCTGTGCCTGAAGAACATAGCTCCAGCTCTGTGTCAACAAGCAGTGTCTCTCTCCCCAGCAGCTAGCCATTCCTATCTCCTGGTGGCAACTACACAGGACCTTTCTGTACACCTTTTTTCTCGCTCAAAAGAGTAGTGACGTTCTTTCTGTTCTCTTCCGTTCTAAAAAAGTTTCAACTCGGCTGTAAAGTGTCAATTTCTGTTGAGATGGATTTACTGATCAACAACTAAAAAGCTGAAAAACTGGACTTAAATCAACTTTATTTCAATAATGAAGCCAAATAAAGATATCCACAGAGACTTAAGCACACAGAACACAAGTCTAGACATGCAGTTCTGATTGGATGTGTAACAGATTTGATCTCAAATATCTAAGATTCTTGTAAACTCATAAAGAAAATGTCTGCTCATACTGTATAAGGTATTCACTTTTAAGATACTCAACATCATATCTGGAACTTTTAACAGTACAAAACATGTAGATATATGTAAAATACCTGTACTTCACACCCAAAAAATCAGAATTACTTGGTTAATATTTAAAATGTTATTACTCAGCATTAAAGTGTTATTTTTTTTATACATTTGCTTAGAATTTAGAAATGTTTCCAATGAAATGGAAGGAAATATGCAATCCTATTGATAAAAAGATAGATGCAAGCATTACATTAACACTGAATATTTAAAATGTACAGTCTGCCAATCAATAAAAGATAAAATAATTAACCTAATTAAAAGTGATTTTTAAAATAAACCTATTTCAGATAATAGCTGAAGACTACAGCATAAAGTCAGTAATAAACATTAAATGTATAATATATAGTAAACACATTTTGACGATTCTTTGGAGCAATTTGTTCCTACACAAAATATCTTTCAGTTAGCCTAACACTTATTTTTTCTACATATCCAGAGAAGAAACCGTCAAAGTAAGGTAAGGAAAGCAGCCTAACTATTTACAATGTTAAAAACAGTTCTTAAGAATATGCCAGTTCTAGGGTACTATGTAAATTAAGTTTTATGCTTAGACAAAATTAATGTTTTTCAATAAAGAAGTGACTATATACTAACAGAGCCTTACCTTAAATTAACTAATCTGTGAATGAAAGAAATACTTCTAAAGGAGAAGTATCTTCTGGCTACCATATCCAAGCAAGTGACACATTTTTGTGTAGAAAGTACTTGGGGGACTACTTCAGGAAAGGAGATCGTTTTGCAAAGCTACGAGACAACCTCAAACTGCAAACACACCTAGGATTTCATTTTGTTTAGTGCAGAAAAGGAATCTCGGGATAGTCACATACCATATATGGGAGCTCAGGTCAAAATAAGCAGATTTCTATTGGACCTGTCCATGTAGCCAGCATAACCAGAATTAGTTTACCTCTTTATATTCATACAACAGTTATCCTGCCAAAAGCCCTGTTTAAGATGTTATATATTAAACTGTGAAAGATATACAAAACCCTTAGCACAGAGGCAACCAGTTTTGTCAGATAAAATTCAATGAAAGACTGAAATACAAATAACTGAGGATTCTCAGGCCTCTTTCAAAAAGTGTTTAGTTCCACGTACTTATCACTCTAGTATTTATTATAGGTGTTAATGAGATAATTTAAAAATGTCTATCCAATCCCACAAATCATATGCCTACATTTACTCTCTCTAGGAGTTCCATCTGTTAGCATGGGCAATATTATGTCCACGTTCAATAGTATGAAAGAACAAGTTTTGAAGAAATCTCAAAATTAAAATGTTATTCTAATATTTTAAACCTTGACTCAATACATTTGTACCAAAAAAATAAAAAAATAAAAACCTCAAACGATCTTATATAAAGGCAAAAAGTTTAAAAGCAGAAGCAATACTTGAGACTTCTCATAATTAAAATTAACTGCCACGCAATTTCTTTTTACATTTTTCAAATAAAAAAAAAGATATTTGAAATACAGTTTGCTATTTTGGAACATATGTTGAATGAAACAGATCTGACTTCTATTGTTTAATTTTATATATGTGTAAGTAAAAGATCAGTCCTTTGGAAATTTAACCTCCGTTCTCCCACAAAAAAGAATGAAACTACATAAGAAGCCTACAGTAGTGGCAAACATGGTATAAGTCACAACTGGGTACAAAACAGCCAGAAAAAGGGTGCTGTAATTGGTATTGCAAGAAAGGAATCTATTTTAATAGAATAGAAATATTAGTTTTGGCACACAGACAATATGTTAATTGGGGTCATATAAACATAACAGATTTATATATAATAAAGCAACTAACGAGAGGATGAAAGATAAAGTAGGGTCCACTTTGTTTATACAGACATTAAACAGTGCCTTATATTCTTTATCTGATGTCTGAAGATTGAACTTCAGCATGCTCTGAAACATTATCTCATGGTATGGACTATACTACAGACTTATTTTACAATAATACTCTAGGCCAGATCCACACATCATACCTTGATTGACTACAGTAATGATAAGCTGATTTACATCACCCACCAATCTCACTCCATTAAAATCAAATTATGCATTTTCATACTTAAAGTAAAGATCAGCTTTACTCTATAGCCTCCTGATAGTTGTGTTTCTTGTCCTGCCACCTTGGCAGGAACATTCAAGTCCCTGACTGCCAAATCAGTACAGTCATGCTATTTACTACTTGCACCCAATATCTCATTTACACTGTTGCTTACGTTAATGGGGATAGTGGAATATGGGTTTTTAATAAGACTTTAATGCACATACTTATGCCAGGCCTGGATTTGCCCTGATCCTGGATTTCTTGGACACTCAAGTACCATTCATGAATTCCTAAGGAACTGAGGATCCACTGTGCATGAATATGTAATAGCAAGTGTACAACAAGCTCATAGGATGTAGTTCCACCAGCTTCACTCACATTATTTAGTGCTTCAGTCCACTGAAATCCCACTGATTCCAACAGTTACAACAGGTTCCACAGGAACACAGAATTTATTGGGTATTTACAAGCCACAGAGACAGCCATATTACTGAAACTGGTTGGGTAAAGACAGAAGATTGTGACGCAGAACAGTGGAATTTAGTGTTTCAATGTTTGTCTCTATGTAGGATACGCGGCATAAATATTTAACATTATAAGACGTGCACAAGATGACCACCTGCATGTTCCCCCTATGAAAACAAAAGAAGGATGCATTCTAAGGTTAATTTTATTATTAACTGATGCTCACTTTTGGGATTTTCCACTACAATTTTAATATAACGTCTCAAACAGACAATATCTTTCCTGTCTCCAAACAAGTTTTATCTTACACATAGCAGCTGTTGCCTAGATACATGCCTAGCTGTAGCAGAAGTTTGCAGTGTTTGACAGGAGCTCTTATTGCTTCATGCTACTGATTTGATCAGAAACAGAAAGCCTTTGGTGATTACAAAGAAAAACAAAGGTAGAAATTATCCATTCAAACTTTTTTTCCCCTGCAATATCTATCATTTTGGGAGGGACACGGCTTGATTAATGTTACTGGCATTTAATTATGCTCTTTAAAGAACTTCCTAGTGCATGTAGTAAAGATACAGTATAATGCATAATCATTAAACTTGCAAGCTGCTGACTTATAACTGTTAAGTCAAAAGATATTCAAACTGCTATCCTATATTAAATCTTTTCAAATTTGAAGACAGATATATTTTTTTTTCATGTCAACAGTTTCAGTACAGAGGCTCAGGCTCATGTTTTTTATATTACAGTAGAACTTGCAAATATGTGCTGCCTTGAAGTAACATCTTCTCAGAAATTATTTTAGCTACTGCTGAGATACTTCTATAATCTATATTATAAAATAACTATGAAGTAAAGGAAGCTGCAAAAAGATATGAATGCCATCTAGATTCAGAGTCTAATTTGACAAAGTTATCTTAATAGTTCACTATTTTTCATCCCTCAAAGCCATAATCAAAAAATGTAGCTGTGTGATGCATGTTTTTTTTACCATTATAAGAGAAGATTTTTTCTATTATTTGTAGTTCTGGCATATACAGGACATGTTTTCTTAAGTTTTTCACTAAAAATGAAGTCCCATAAAAGTTATATTTTACATAAAGAAATAATAGATTATACATCTACCTAATATCCCAGCAGAAAATTATCATCTTTTTAGCACAGCAGTAAATTTTAAGCATCAGTAATACTGTACTCCACCTTTCTTGTTCTCGTTCCATTTAACAGCACGTCTCCAAAATCTATCACTTTCCTTTTCTACTGAATTCTAAAACTGAATGACGTTTTTGGCTTCCATATGAAACCAGTCAAAGTTACAACCTGAGGAGAGATTCTACTCAGTAACGGTGCCATCATTGCTGAGAAGGTTGAGAAGGTCTCTGCCATGATACTCTATTGGCACAAGCTGTGGGAATAAGACCCTACTTCTGATTGAGAGATTCCTAGTGGTATGCTATTGTAACCCCACTAAACACAACATCCTTTATTTAAAGAACATTACATCTATTGGACTGAATTCCTGAAAATTACTGAAATGTTTACAAAGTTCCTGCAAAGATCAGAACTTTTACAGTAGGGGTTTCAAAAGTCAATGTACCTTGTGTTCTTAAATCACCTCATGGTGCTTTTGAGAATCCCACTTTTTAACAT